AAACTGTCCCCTAATACAGCAACTGATACATATTATATGATGTCTTGCAGACATGACAGAGTGTTGGACTAGATGACATCCCGAAGTCCTTTCCAACCCTAATTTTCTATGATTCTATGACTTAACTTACAGCTTGCAGGCTGAATCCAGTCTGATGAACTTGTTCACCAAGCCAGGGGGCTTCAGTGGCATCCAGCAACACCATAGCCAGGTAGTAGAAAGAAGTGGCAGCTGCTAGGTCCTAGCATCAACCTGCCTTAGACCCAAGAACCCAGTCTGCATTCATGAACACAATGCCACCGGCAGCTGGGGGAGGGGAGTGGGGGCACAACTCTGGCAGTGGCGGGAGCCCGGCAGCAGAAGCCCAGCAGCAGCAAGCACGGAGCTCCCAACAAGCTCCTGTTAATGTATAAAGTGTATTTAAAATGTGGGTTTGGCATTCGTGAATATTTGAAACAGTGAATGCCAAACTTGCGAATAATAAGGGTTTCCTGTAGAAAGAAATAACTGATGGATGATGTTGAACTAACTGCCACAAAATAACACTAAAGCTAAAAAGGTGAGAGAAAGTTTTCCTCTCTTGTATAAGCTTAAGTGTTCCTTTCTAAGTGAGTCTCCAAATCAACAATATAGGGTGGTGAAAGATGTGCAGCTCCACACTATAACTCATGGCACTTTGCAGGAAGTGCCATGAGTTACAGTAATCCCCTGGACCCAACAGACATTGTTGTTGGGTCTGAGGCAGGTGGTTTTGGGGATCAAGGTGCAGTTTGGAGTGGCTGTGTGTCTACTGGCTGCTCGCCCCTAGCTCCACCCCTCCCCTTTCCAAGCTCAGCTCCAGTGCTGTTCTTCAGAATGGGAGGGGGGAAGGGCACGGCAGGAACTCATCTTAGGTTTGCCCAACCTGCGCTGAAGGTTGGGGCAGGTGGATTGGAGCCTTGCCCCCATCTCCCACCACTCCCATTTCAAAGACAGCATAGGGGGCAGGAATGGGCTACTTCAGTCCAGCCCCACTCCCAGCACACACTGACAAACATTAAATGAAGGCACTTACTTTGGAGTGCCTTCATTTGAACCCTCATGTAATGAGGGTTCAGATCATCGCACAATCAGGCATTTTTAAAGTGCTTTGGAGCCATGCACTTCTGTCAGTCCATGGCTGTAAAGCACTTCAAGGACCTGATCATGTGACAAACTGTCACTTCTATCAGCACCCATAGTTTCTTACTACTATACCACAAAACTACAGGAAATGATAAAAACTAGGCCTGTAAGAAGTGGCTAGTATTGGCTAGTCATAGCTGAGGCTTCATTGCATTCAGCAATATACATACTATAATGAAATTATGTTCTTTTCACAAATAAGTTTACTGTATCACTGCATTAATTAAGTTGTTCTGTGGAACATTTAAAACTAAGCCTTATAGAATAATTGTCCAAAAACAACAAAGGATTAATTGCACTGGCAGAAAATTACTGAAACAATAAACTTTACAGTAAAAACCAAAGTTTCAAAACTGTGCATAAGGTAGGAGTTTTGAAAGTGATTAGGTGATTCAGGAGCACAGGTTCCCTTGACTGTCAGTTCTGAGTCACTTAGCTTTTATCGGAAACTATAATCATAAGAAATCCAGCTGGTCACCATAGTTCTGTAATCACCACACCTTCAGGGAAATTGTATTGACTCCTAATTTTGTGTACATTTTTTTAAATAAAACTACGGATCAACACAAACTATGTTGCCCTCAAGGTCACTTTGTTAAATGAGGATAAAAAAAATTGCTCCAAGAAACCTTCATAAAAATTATTACTGTCATTCACATAAATATTTGCAGTTGTATTTAATTGTAAGAATTAGCAAGTAGGAAAGAAAAATGGAGTGTTATCATGTGCAGTCTCAAAGTGTTCTTGGGCATGAATTATTTCTGCTACAGGGATGATACAAATTAGGTCGTACCTCCGTTAAGTCCTAGGCCTTCTCTAGAACAAATACACAGCCCTACTAAGAGACAAGCAGTACAGTTTACTATGCAAAATATTTGGCTCTTGAAACCAGCCTTCCAAAAAAAAAAAAAAAACCACAACAACAACATGATTTGTTCAAAGATAATATTCCCACTCCACCTTGAAGTAGGCAATCTAAAATATGCCAAGATGCTGTGATGGATTAATACACACAATCATGCTGTCTACCTAGTCTTCTAAACTTACAATGTAAATACCATTTTTTTAAATTGGAAGCAACACAAAAACATGCTGCAACACTACAACATGCAGCATATTTACAGTTGTGGCTAAGTATAAAAAGGATGTATTGCCCCTACTTAGAAAAGCATTTTATATTCCAGCTTAGCTTTCAGCACAATGGTATTATGTCTAGATACTATCTTTACTCCAATCTAATAAAATGTAGTTATTGGAGAGCTGTCTTAAATTTTCCCCCCTCCCACTGCTACTGCAAAGAAAATAGTGGCTGGGGGTCAGAATGCCCTCTGCTCTTCCTCCCCCCACCCCCCCATACACACACATTTCTTCCCCCTGAAGCCTTCTTGGCTCCCCCACCCCCAGCTCCCTATAGCCTCTACCCCTCTCCCACCTCCCCACAATCTCTGCCCCTTCTCCCCTGCTTCCTGTGGTCTCTGCCTCTTCCCCAGACCTCCTTACTGTCAGATGCTGCTTGGGCTCCCTCCCTTCCTGGAGCACAGCATGTGGAATCTCAGCCCATGCCAGGAAGTGCAAGTGTCAGCACCGCTGACTGGCCAGGCAGGGGACAGAGTTTCCATGTGCTCCGTGCTTGGGAGAGAACCCAGCCTGAAACTGGAACTGAGCTGTGCCTTATAGTAAGAAGGAGAAGATGGTACAGAAGGCAAAATGTGCAGAGGGCAAGTGGAGGGGGCAGGGGACTGCTACAGGTCCGACTCTGGCTCAGGATCAGAGTCAGAGCCACAGTAGCCACCTGCCCCTCACTCTGCTTTACATGCAAATCTTAAGATGAGTGTCTTTCCCCTCCCCCCATGCTGATTGTGGGGGAGGCTTGTCTTAGATTTGAGCAAATATGGTATCTTTTTATGTCAGTAAAAAGTATCTGAGTGCCTTATAATATTAATGGATTTTGTCCCCATGATGCCCCAGTTAGGCAAGGAAAACCATTTCCATTTTTTGCTTGGGAAATAGAAGCGCAGAGCAATTATAGATAATATTTTCATATCTAACAACTTCCATTTTCCAAAGTGACAAGCATTTGTGAGCCCGAGCTTATTGCAAGTCAATAGGACTTAGTGTGAAGTTACATGCCACACTTAGACCATACTGAGAACACTTAAAATGCCCTCAGTATGGTCCTAAAATGTGAATGTCCACATGTTAAAGCTCATTAAGTCAGGCTAATTGCCTTCGAAGTATCTCAAAGTTATGTCACTTCAGGCAAGGGTTAACGCTGGGTTGCGCTACCTAGCTCATGTTAGGTTAACTTCAGCCTGCACCATGGAGATGAAATGATCAATTTGAAATCCTCCAGCATCCCAGGATGTATTGCTCCCAGCCCTCCCTATCTCTGTCAAGCAGGGATAGATCCCAGGTATCCTGGCTCCTAGCCAGGACCCTGCTTGCTAGCTCTCTGGTGGCAAGTCAGAGTTGTGCAGGCAAGAAACTGTATTAGCCTTTAAGGTGAGACTGCTCACAGCACATTCTAACTTTAAGGCTCCACAGATTTAGGTGTGGTCTAAATGTATTGTGTAACTTTACCCTTAGGCTGCTAATTCACTTCAGTACTTGTGAAACCATTATTTTATGTGACTTTTCCAAGATCAGACAAAGAGTCTGTGGGTAAGGGTGTATTTGAACTAGATCAGCCTCTCATGGCTAGTTCTCCAATTGACATTAGTCTCATTGCCTTCATACACTGAATGTTAAGCATCTCCTTAAGTGCTCTCCTAACCTCCTTGACTTTGAATTAAAAACTCAAAGAAAGGAGACAGCTCCCTGTAATCACAAAAACTTATCTACCAAAAAAGCTCTCAGAAGTAAAATTACTGAATATCAGCCCATATTGGAGAAAGATGCATGCTACAGCAGCCATGTTTCATTTTCCAAAAAAACCCCAAAACCCATAAACATAAGAAATCATTTTTAGCAAAGCACCTTAAAATGTACTGGCAACACAAAGCAGACAACCTGAGTAGCATCACCCATTTCACTTTCATTTTACCATTTCATTTTTGTGTCCATTTTCTATTTGATAACTTTCAAACATGCCCCCCAAGTTCAGAGATTAGAATTCATTCTTTGTCAATCATAGAACCAGGCAACTATGAAATTGAAAAAGCTTACTGTTTCAACTAGTTTACATCCCTGAAAATACAAGATTGTTCCCTATAGCAACAATCACTGTCTCTCTAACATTTTGTCTGGTCATAAGCAATGGCTTCTATGGGACTACATAAATGAGCATGACAATGGAGAATCTATCTTATATCAAGGCTATTATCACAGTAATCAGTTGTTTGAAGAGAATGCTATCTTTATGTTATAGTATATTAACTTTGGATGGCATGGTTCCATTTTGGGGATAGCTGGATCTATTTATCACAGATAAATAATGATATCACATGCCATCTTATGCAAGGCTGTACCTTAACTAATATTTACAAAGCATGAATGGACATGATGATAACTTAAGTCTAAAGGATCTTAAATTGCATACACAAGTAGAATGCTCACTAACAACCACTTAAAAAAAATCACACAGACCTTTTGTGTGTTCAGTTATAGTTTCAAATAAGAATCTTTACATATTGCATTTTCATATATAACATTCATTTTATGGATCTACTGCAATCCAACATACCAAATTGTGTGTTACACACTCTCTGAAAAACACCAGGAGCTGGGTTATATGACTACTGTGCATTAAAAAAACCTAAACTATTTGTTCAAATAGTCAGATATTTGGCATCATCCTCATGGATTCATATTGTGATAATATCTGTTTCTTCTTACAGGATCACAACAACAGCAGCTTGCATGATGGATCTACGCAGATACCCATTGGATGAACAAAACTGCACCCTAGAAATTGAAAGTTGTAAGTTGTTGGAGGGAGAGGGTTGATCAAACAGCATCATTGGATTGAAAATAATTCATTGGTTAGGTAAAGTATATAGTTGTTTTATGACAGAACTCATAGCCTTCTTGTATACCAAGCAGTTTGTATGTATAATACTATATAATACATTTACGAAATTCAGTGCCTAGCCAAGCCATAATTCATTCAAAATATTTTGCTGAGCAAAGGTTATCAAGTCCTTTGAAAAATCTCTTGCCAAATGAGGGGTACCATCCCCCAGCTCCTAAAGCAGGGCAGAAATTTGCCTAATCTGAATAACCTTCTCACCACAAAATCTTGGTAAAGCCTCATCATCACAATTTAGTCATCTATAAAAAGGACTGTTTCTGCCTCATAGGGAAGTTGAAATGGTTAATTCAAAGCCAAACACTTTGAGATCCTCAGACAAAAGGTCATACTCCTGCAACATTAAAATCTACAAAAAAGTTTTGCCAAGGACTACAGTCTATTTGGTCACCTCTACATGTGATATGCATTACACAATTGCCTGATTAACTGCAATTAATTTAGACCGGCTACATGTACAAATTAACTAGCACACCATAAAAAGATCCAACCTGCCATAAAACTATAAAAATTATAAATGAGAATATGTTCATTCTTGTGCCCTGAACAATTCAGGTAGTCAAATTGTCACATACCTTCAAAATTACCCTCAGTTCTAAAGTGCCTTCTTTCTAAATGCATAATCAATACCAACTTTAGTATAAAATCAATCAAAATGCAGCTTTTTCATCTAGCTTTTAAGTGCTTGGTAAGAAACTTGAAATGTTTCTTCAAGAATTATTAGCTGTAGCTGTTTTTTCTAGGAAAGTCAGTTTATCATGATTTTATGAATAGTCTGCTGGAAAGTAAGAACAATAAATAAAGCTTTTATTCAGCTAACAAGGGATTCTAATCAAACACACACAACAGGCTTCATGAAAATTGTTTTTATTACAGTGTGTTTTGAGCAGAATGTGTTCACATTTACTATGGAGACCCAAAAATTACATCTTTTATTTGTAAGTACCAATTGTTTTGACACTGCAGGATCAACATCTTACCTAGGTAGGGGAGGCATAGTTATCTAGATCCTGTCTCAGATGTCTCAGCAGCTCCAAGTGCTATTCCCCATAAACAATGATTCATTGTTCATTATTCACCATATGTAGAGTAGTCATTTTGAGTGGATATACTAGCCATACACCACTGTAGACCCGAGGTTGCATTTATTTGATATCTTATTTAATATATTTGCCTAGCACAAGTATTCAGTTAACATTCCCTACATCTGGTTAGCCCCCCCCCAAGATTATTCAAAGGGTCACAGATTTCTGCCCACCTTTCCTTATTCCTTCATGCATAGACAATCATTTTTCTTCTTTTTTTTTTGCTGAAGGAGTAGCAATACTTGCATGTGGCAGCACAGAACTCCAACTAAACTAACTGTTAGAAAGGACTGGGAAGCTCCTCGTGAGTGTCATAATACAGTATTTTAACTTGTACCTTCCTTCATTACCTACAATGCTTCACATTATAGTTGGCAGCTCTCTCTCTAATACACACTACTTTTCAGGCTTTGTGTTCCCAGCTCACCACCTTTCTGGCACAAAACATGCTGTCTAATGCTGCTTGCTGCTAGGCTCATCTCCTGGCTTGCAAATAAACAGCCCCACACTCTGTACATTTGAAAAATACTTCACCCCTTGACTCTCAATAAAATGACTCTGAGATCTGTCACAGTTTTTCACCATACTATTAGCACTGCAACCATATAAAAATATTCACAGTGCACTGTAAATAAAATTAACAAGTCCCATTGAAAAGTCATGAGTTCCTCAGTTCTGCTTGCTAGGAAAGGATTTGAGTATGTAAATCCAGTCAGAACTAGCACTCGTCAAGGAGTATAAGAACCTGCTAGTATATAGCTTGCAATTTGGACTATTTATACCTCCTTACCATTTGTGAACTTTCAAACTAATGGAACATTGTAGGTCTAAAAATTCACAACAGGGAACTTTGTTTCTTGATTTTCAATGACAGAACCAAAGTTCATTTGAGACAGAATAAGTTGATAAACGTTAAGTCATTCATTGAGACAACATGTGACTTATAGAACTAGCTCTAGATTGATAAACTAGTGCTAGGTACTGACATTGCACTTTTCCAGTTTAGGTGGTCGGAAACTAGTCTATACTCATAACAAAACAGAAGGTTGGGGAACATAGACTGGTTTCAAAATGTCAGATCCCAGTCTAAGATAGACCTGCATCCATGTAGTATCAGACTTTCTTGAGCTAGGTTGGACTGATGCATCGAACATCAGTGCCAGATTTGATAGTGAATCGAGGTAGGTCACTATCGACTAGTATCCCAGTTGCCTGTGCAGCCCCCATAACCCCCCTCTCACAGGGAGCCACAGCTTGGCTGCTCCAGCCCAGCTGTTATCCAGGCAGGACAGAGACAGGAGGAGTGGGGCTCATGAGCTGCTATGGAGAGGCGGTCTCTGGCATACTTGAGAGCAGCTTCTGGGCGTGAGCTCAGAGCAGCCTCACCAGTGCATTTGCAGGTGTGGAGTAGAAGCAGGGAGGAGGGGGTATTTTCATTGGCATCCCATCTGAGACAAGGTGTCTCCACAATGAAGAAGTTTTTCCTAATAGCCAGCTAAATATATTTTGCTGCAGCTGCACACATTGGTCCACATTCTGCTCTCTGCAGTGAGAGAAAAGGTGTTTTCCTACTTTATGGCAACTGTTCAAATATTTGAAGACTGCTATCATGTCCCCTCTTAAGCACCATTTCTACAAGCAGGGCATGCCTATTTACTTCAAATTCTCCTCGTATGACTTGCCTTCGAAGCCCTTTATCATTTGTGTTGCCCCCCCTCTGGACCCTCTGTAACTTCTCAATGTCTTTTTTTTTTAATATAGAGCCCAAAACTGTGCACAATACTGTAGGTGAGGCCTAATGAGTTCTGAGTAAAGAGGCACTCTCACCTCCTGGGTCTTGCACCTAGTGCTTCTATAGATGCAGCCCAAAACCACATTCACCTTTCGTGCAGCTGCATCCCACTGCAGACTTGCATTGAATCTCTGATCTATGAAGACTCCCAGATCCTGCTCATTAGTGCTGCCCTTCGGCCAGTCATCACTCATTTTGTATTTATATTTTTGATTATTCTTCCCAAGGTGTACTACCTTGCATTTGTCAGCACTGAATTTCATCCTGTTAGCTCCAGCCAAGCTGTCAAGATTCTTCTGAAATGCACTTCTGATTTGAACATTATGAACAATTCATGGGTTTTGTTTTGCTCTTTTTTAACCTCTTCTTGTAGTCCAACAGCCAGGGACATCAGTGCAGCTGGACAGTTCCTTAAACTTCACTGATTTTGCAGAACTCATCTGACAGTTAATGGAAAATGGATATTTTAGACTCCTGCTTGCAACTATGCAGTGCTCTGCAGTATGTGGCCTCCATACTTTGTATGCCTTGTCCTATACCTCAACCAGTAACATACTCATTGTGGCTGGCTGCTGAAACATCAACAGTAAAGCCTACTGCCTATAGGAATCAGATTTCAGAGATAACCTCCTCTAAGCCATCCATATGAGAGACAAACACATTACAATGTGTCAAAGTAAAAAGGCCCCATAAGTCACTGTCTCAAAGAAGAATTAGGTGGTCACAATCCTCTGAAATTCGAAGTGCCAAGAACATTCATTACTGATACTTACAAAGTAAGTAATGCAGTGTGCTGCAGACAACACAACAGCTATACTGTACAGAAAGGGCAAACTAGACAAAGCAGACCATGGCCCACCACCTAACCTGGTGGCCAGCACAGAAATATGCACGTCAAAGAGGAACAGAATTAGCCAAAGTGGTATTTCTATAATTTACAAAAAAACATTTGGAAGATTTTATAAAATTATCTTGCCCAACTGTCTGCATAGGGAAGTATTATCCATTATTCAGCATCTAGACCAGGGGTGGCCAATCTGTGGCATAAATGCCACAAGTGGTCAGGGCAGCCTCTGTGGGTGGCATGCAGCAGATTGGGGAAGGGACATGCAGCACAGCAGCAAATAGGACAGAAAGCAGAGCAGGATATCAGGCAGGGAGCACAAAGAAAGGAGAAGGAAACAGGGCACTCAGGGAGAATGCAAGGCTAATTTGTGGGACACCTGCCAAAAAAAGTTGTCCCACACTCATCTAGACAATTACCAAAAAAACATGTATGTTTAGCCAAAGTAAACAAGTTTCACATATACATCTTCCTGTAGAGTTATATGATTTTACATGTAAAATACAGTCACCTGGGGATTGCAAACTCACTTAGTGTATATTTATCAGGGCCAAGGCAGCACCATACTGCTCCTGTGCTATGGCATTGTACACATGGGCTAGCTCCCAAACCAGAAGCAGCATTGCTGACCAGTGCAGCTCTCCAGAGCTTATTAACAGTGCTGACCATGCAGCTTCCATATCCATGGCCAACTGTGGTTAGTGTAGTGTCTCAGCACAGCACTGCCTTGTACCATGAAGACACAATGTTAGAGGGCACAATGCAAGCCCAGTTGCTTCAGTTTAACATGTTGCACTGATCCAACCCTGCAAGTCAGGACAGAAAGAGTGGGTAGGATCCCATTCTTGCGATATAACTTACAGTGCCTTAAGAAGTTGTGTCAGCACCACTAGCATGGCAGGGGCACATGAACCAAGTCTGTGCCTGGCCCTTATTCAGCCAGAAAAAGAATGGGCAGAGGCTTCTGCTTCATCTGTAAATCACACTACTGAGAGACACCATTATACTGCAGCAGTCCTCTAACATGACTCAAGTACAGTTTATGATTGTAGGATAGACACAACTAAATTTTGCAAAATTATCAACTTGATTATTGGTTGAGGTTCCAGGGCCTGTGCTATGCAGCCTGTCTGAGCAGATTATCAGAACCGTCCCTTTTGGCCGTAACATC